GATATCCCAAGTTACTGTATTAGTGATCTTGCAGACATTGGGCAGGTCTCTTCAATGGATATGTTTTTGCTAGTTAATTTTCTCTTTTATGGGTTCTTTTGTGTGTAATTCTATTCTCTGATGGTTTGTGTCAGGAAAACAATATCTGATCGTTTGAGATTTTGATTTTGCAGAAAGGAGGATGTTAGGCTCTTCTATGTACTTTTATCAGTTGCAATCTCTAACATCAAAGTTCTGCATAGGTTTTTTAATATGATCTGAGCTGCTGAAGTTTTAGAGAAACTAATGTCTTCTTGATTGATTGTTTGTTTGCATGCTTTCTAACATTTTTTGTTTTCTCCTGTTTCTTATGTAGTTTACTGACAATGGAGAGGATAGAGTAGTAGTTGGAACCCTTGATCTTAACCAATGTCTTTGGCTTCCAGAAGAAATAGCTGGAACCAAACCAGAGGTATTTCTCATATATCAAGATCTTTCTGTTGTTATATATGTGCTTATTTAGTTATCTATTTAGTTTTTGGTGTTAAAGCTTCTTAAGTATTCTTAAAAACGGGAACATACTTATTTATGATTTAGGTAAGGCCATCTAAATGTATCAAGATTAGCATGTTCCACAATTTAGTTTCCACAAATTGCTGTCACTCTATGAATTTCTTATTGGATTGCAAGATCCGAATTGTGGATTGTTTTCTGGGCCGGAGAAACATTTGATCCAATCGAGATGCTAAAGCACTGAAAATGACAAAAATAAGAAATCATACCTAGAAATGAAATTTTTATTGTATAAGATTGCTAACTAACTTAGTAAAATAATGTGGAACTACAACTAAATTTCTAGAATTTCTAATGAATCCTAATTAATTTAGAATTCTTGAATCCACTAGATATAAAGGGAAATGAAAATTACCCCACTATACAACCTAATAGTTTACGGTCTATGAAACTTAGTTCCAATATGTGTGTGTGTGTGTGTGTAATTATATAAATAACAGGGATGAATTTTATCATACTATAAGATTTGGTGAAATTTCTTAAATCAAAAAGATTTTATTTTGTAATAAATTGATCTTCATTTGGCTTCTGTTTTGACAGGGGATTGAAGCTGATTTTGCAAGAGCATACTTGAGCAATGTTTGTGTTGCAAGGGAACTCCACAGAAATGGCTTAGGTTATGAAATTGTCATGAAGTCAAAGATAGTTGCTCAAGAATGGGGTAACAACATCTTTTGCATTTATCTTCTATGATAGTTTTATCCCTGTCATAATCATCTTGCATTAATTAAACTATTGTCATGAACAATCTGTTTGTTGCTAAACAAAATGGAATTACGAATTTTTGCGTCAGAGTTGAAGAAACTAAATGCATCAGCCACTTGGGCTATATAGTTTGGCCATTTAGAGCTGTACATTGTTAAAGCACCATATGTAAATGGGTTGATTGAATTTGAATGCTCAATTGTCTCTAAGATCCTATCTTTTATGGATTACACTGTGTGTGACCTTTTGTTTTGTCACAAAGAATAAAGGGATTACTCAACAAAAATTATCTTTGGTAACAACACAAGAAATAGATATGACATTTAAGCACAAGTTAACTTGAAATTAAATAGAGGAGAAGGGAAAGAAAACTCAAATTCAAATATTTATGGAAGTTTGGTTCTTCCTTTAGGCACCTCTCCCGTGGCTTTCTCTTCCCAAGAAGTTCAAGTCACTATATGAACAAACTTACAATTACCTTGTCTAGGCTTAAGTATAACTTTTACAATAATGGAATCAACCCAAGTGAGTTTTTAACTCAAACTCACAAATTCTCATCAAGAGGACACCTCATCACTTGATTGTTTACAAATTCTAAGAATTTACAACTGATTTTTGCAAACTAAAAACCTCACAAAAGGTTAGGTGTTTGCCAAATAAGTTTGTTGAATAAGCTTCAAGTTGTTCTCATCCCAATCTTTATCATTTGATGGAACATCAAGCCTTTCATGAGAATCTTCCACACTTCAGTATCTCAGCCATGATAAAAGCTTTTGTATTTATCCACCACTTGCACAAACTAGTGTAACTGAATCATCAGCTGACCTTGTAGCAATAGCTGCAGTGTTTTGATAATGCATCTCTTTCTGATTCTTCTTTTGTCCTTTTTGCTCTTGCTTCAAGATCTTGCAATTTCTCTTCAAATGTCAAGGTTTCTCGTAGTCATAGCACTTTGGCATTTCTCTACTTAGACCTGTTTCTGGACTTGTTATGATCTCTAGGTCCTTTGTTCTTGCCTCTACCCCAATCTTTAGTGATAAGGGCTTGGCCATGATCAATGCCCTTCTCTTTCCTTCTATTCTCTTCATTGGAGACACTTTCTTTGACCTTGTCCAAAGTAATTTTACTACTATTCGAGTTGCTTGTGGAAGCCGTTAACGTCTCCCAACTATTTGGCAGAGAACTCAAGAGAAATAGTCCTTGCTATTCATCATCTATCACTATATTCATAGTGGAAGGTGGTTGACAAGATCTTGAAACACATTCAAGTGCTCACATCAGACTGTCACTCCTTATATTTCAAATTCGCAAACTTACTTAATGTGAAGAACTTATCATGTACAATTTTCCTCTCACAAAAAGCCTCTTACATTTTCCCAAGCTCTGCAAACTGGTCCTTTTAGCAACATGATGAAACATATTAATAACAACCCATTGTCCAATGGTACCAATAGTTTTCCTATGTAGGTTGTTTGATTCTTTATATGTCTTGTCACTCGGCTTAGCTGAAGCGTCCTTTATTGGATCATACAAGTCTCTACAATAAAGGACATCCTCCATCATTGGCTACCAAATTGAGTAATTTGATGAAGTCACTTTAACTCTGGACCTTATAGCACTCTCCAATTTTCTTTCCTAACCAAGAGCTCTGATACCAGTTGATAGGACCTAACTCCTAACCCAGAGGATACATTCAAAATAAACAAGCAGCTAAGCAACACTACCAAGCAAAGTATGCAAATACTGAGTGACAAGAAAATAAATCAACTCCACATCAACTAGAACAAATAATAGAGAGACAATACCAAATTTTTGTGGAAAACTTTCCACTGTAAACGGAAAAAACTACAGGAAAAACCGGTGACAAATCCATTATTAAATAAATGATACAATGTTCTTTTTCTCAAGTTTTTACCTAAACTTGATACCCACAATAATTGGAACAATATCAAAATATACCTTTAAGGATTACAATACTAGCTCTCACCACCACAAGACTGAGTGAACCAATTCTCCATGATTAATGCATTCCTTAATCATTGCAGAAAACACCCTCCAAATTATTGCTTGTTGCTTGCCAAGAATGGCTCTCCCTGGAGTTCCAATTTTTTCTCTTTTTCTCCCTGTTATGTAGTGCACCGTACTTGCTCAAAACCTTACAATTTCTGCTATGGAATAAAAGAAAAGAAACGCTTGTTTCTACCAAAATCTTAATCATCTAATCTTGCTATGTGACACAATATTGGCCACTCAAAAACAAAGCCAAGTCAGATGAAGCCAAATTCAAGTATAACAAAGCCATAAGGTTGGACCTAGTTTGACCACATGCTGAATAACTCTCTCTCCAGTGAATTCAAATAGCATCGTGCACAGTGTGGGATAAGGCATCAGTTGACAAAAACTGGTAGCCTTTAGCCCCATGGTGTTGCAAAAAGAATGAGCCACACTAATATGCAAATTGTCAAATGCATGCTAAGGATGGCTAACTTGCCTAGGGCATTGTAGGTAAAGCTATTGGCATTGCTTGCTACCTAATTAATTGGTCTGCATAGGTTCCTTTGGTTTTGACATACCGCAGTGAGTGACCAGGAAAGGAAACATCTAGCTCACATTTGAGTGGAATTGGTTGTGAAGCCTTCATGAATGTGCCTAAGGAACCAAGATTAAAACTTGACAGTAAAGCCACTCTTGTATATTTTTGGGTTATGATCATGAGGAGTTTGGTTACAGATTATGCGATCTGGAGAAGAGCAAATTAGGCAGAAACAAAGATGTACGGATGATGTGAACTCATTGTCAACACCTCATTTCATGTTGTCTTTTTTGTTTGTAATGCTATCAAACTTTTCAGCAAACAATGTCCAGGGCAATGGTTGTTGACACTGACTGACTAGAGTCTGCCACCTTCTCTCTCTTAGTGCTTGCCTTTCATGCATTTGGCATTCATGATTACAGCACGTCTTTCAAACATTTTTGGGATAATTTCTTGCACCTGAGCATTTAGCTCAATGGTAGATACTGTATCTTCTTGTTCGAAGAGCTGGGTTTGAATCCCTTTCTCCCAATAAATAAAAAGAAAAAAACAGAAACTTAATTTGGATATGTGATAGTTAAATGCTGTTTGTTGTATTATTTCAGGCATAACTGATCTATATGTCCATGTTGCTGTTGACAATGAGCCTGCAAAGAATTTATACATGAAAAGTGGCTTCCTTCATGAAAATGATGAGCCTGCATGGCAAGCTAGATTTTTAGATCGGCCCCGACGGATTCTATTATGGGTTGGCCTTCCTTGCACTAATGAGTTGTAATGTTTTGGCTTTTCCTTTTTCTTTTAGTACTTTATTATAAGTCTTGATTCTGATACATGTTTATGTAATGTGGAAAACTCGCCCATTTGAAAACGTAATGTGTCTTGTATATCACCAGGTAGAAAGTTTAATCCAGAAAAATAAAATCTCACAAGAGGATATCCCATTCATTAGAACTTGAGACTATTCATTTGAAGGTTCAAGTTTGAACGTTGAGAAAGAGGTGGATTTTGTGAAAGAAGAGAATAACTATTGGTTGTGTAGTTTAAAGCTTTATGGGCATCTTTCTGTATATAGGAAAAAAAATGAAAGAAAAACATGGCTCATTTCCCTTTTGATAAAATGTGCTGCGATTTAGTGTGGTGACATGCATAAATGCAGGAAACTGTTGCCAGTGTAATGTTGCTTGTTACATTTTTGGAAAAGGTCCGTGAACAAGATAATTTAACTTTAGATATTTGCTCTTCAAAGGATGGAGGGATCAATTGAATTGCTTACTAATTTTGATGTGAATATAAAATTGCTAAAGAAGTTTCGTCCCAAACAGGTAAAAGTTCCACATTTTACATAACATTATTGGCATAGCAGATGGAAGACAGCAGTTTTCCATTTTTTTTCCAGATTATTCTCTTTTACAGCTACATTATCATCATCTTCCCTGGACATTGAGAAGCCATTTTTGATTAGAACCTTCAAACTCAAACCCTGAATATAAGATAAGGCCAAAGGTGAGAGGAGAGTTAAAAAGGCCTTAAGGGGCGATGACTAGTAGTAGTATGGTTAGTATTTGAAAGAGACTTACTCGTGAAATTCCACTTGGATTATACCGGCGTCAGGATCAGCAATGGCAGAGAAAGCATCTTGAGAAAGATTAATGATTCCCTGGCATCCTGCTTTACAGTAGTCAACAACTTTAACCACGACACTCTTACCGTTCTTGCAAGGATGCGGGGCTTGGTTGGCTCCTCCTATGCATTTAACTCTGTACCTCTTCCCGCATGCTCCTCTGTTATTCCACAACGCATCACTTACTCCCGCAACCATTTTCCCATTGTCTTGGTTACGAAAGCATGCTGAGGCTGTTTACATTATATTATATTAAATATTTCAAAAGGAATTGTAGAAACGGCTAAACCAAATCTGGCTTGTTCTTTTGATATCAATATGATTTAATTATGCGATTCAATAAAAAAAAAAGATATGATATATATACCAAATAATTATACTTACGAACATAAGGAGGTGCAAAGAAAACAGCCTTCCCCTGGATGGCACGCGCGACTGAGCTAAGACACAAGACCATGCTCACGATCACAAAAACTCTCATCCCCATCTCTTCCAGGAAATTGATCTTCCTCAGTTTAAGTGTTATTAGATTTCAGGGTAGTCACACCTTTTTATAGGTCTAAAACTTGAAACTCTCCCATTAAAATAAAATTTTAATTTGACACACTAATCATGCATAATTTTTTATATAATGTCATATCATTGTAAACTGTTTCCCCGTTATATAAGTAAATTTAAAACTTTTAAAAATTTAAAAACAAATATTGCTAATTTCTTTAAAATTTAATTATATAAAACAATAAAATCATGTTTATTTCCCTCATCTAATTTCTTCTTCTTCTTCTTCCTCCTCCTCCCTTTTCTTCTTTCAATCCTTATCTCAAAAGCCCGAAAGATGTTTTCCCTATTTTAGCTACGGCACATAAGATGCTCATTGCCATGTCGCAAGAGTCACTGACTACCGGCACATTACATTCTGAAACGTGTTTACAGTTACGCATGTTCTAAGCATGTAATTTTCCTTTAACAATTGATGACTAGAGTTCATTACCCAAATTTCAGTTTTATGAAATTTAACAACCACCAAAGACAAAAAATTATCTCCACATTACAGAGTCCTTAAAATGATGTGCCCTTTGCGAAAATTCAAGCTATGTACCGCTCGATTTAATGCTTCTCCTGATGAGGAGATACTACGTCGTCTGCACTCCATATATATCCCTCCTAAGTCATGTTATGATTTATTAAAATTCTGGTAGATGAAATTAAAGCAGTGGAAAAGCTCATCAATGGAAGAAGAAGAGAGGGGCTTTAATTTGAGATAGGAGTGAAAGATGGGGTCTGAAAGAAGAAGGAAGAAGAGAGAAAAAAAAATTTGATTGTAATTAAATTTTAAAGAAATTATTAATATTTATTTTTAAATTTTTAAAAATTTTAAAATTTGTATAATAAAGTATTATTTTATGATGGCTTTATATATTATCAGTACATTAAATATAAACATTTTAAAATAATAATAGTTCTATTTACATTTAGTGAGTTTTCCACTAACACTCAACTTTGGATCAAGAGTCAAGAGTCAGTCCACACACTAGTCATCCTCTTGGAAATTCTTGCTTCACCTACCCACTAGTCTTTGGTAAGAAATTTCCACCCGCTCCACTTGGCTAATGCCTAATCTTTCCATCCAGGGTTTGGGACTACGGATGTGATGTTTGAATTTTGTTGGAATTGTTTCATTTCTTACTTGTTTTCAATTTGGTATGATTTTCTGCCCTCTTTCGTGGCAGAAGCTAAGAAATTCTCAAGCAAGTTAGGTGGAAAAAGGAGAGAGTAGATACTGTACGTACATGTTATAAATTAGAGAGTGCTCCAATCAACAAAAAATGCAGAGATTAAAAAGTCGTAATTGTGGCATTTAGCCCCTATTTAATTACCATGTCGAGGGGTAATTTTCAACATCTCAAAAGCATATAGATTCCCATTTACTTTTAAGGCTAAATTCTTGAGGAAACTACAAAACAAAAAAAAAACTTATAAAGTCGTTTATTAAAATTAATATAAAAGCAAAAGATAAAATACTCTTATTCTTTAAGTTTTTATTCAAATTACATGAAAATCTATTAATTTTTAAAATAAATATTCTGTCTTAAAAAAAATTTTTCGCTAGACACTTAATTCCAACCATTAGTTAATTGTTAGTGTTTTTGTCAATTTGATAACATAATAAGGGTAAAAAAAAACCTTTAATTAAGTTTTAAAATTTCTATTATATAATTTTTTATTAATTAAAAAAAAACTCTCCCAAGAGAGCACCCTTTCTTGATAAGTTTGTTTTTTTTAAAAAAAATTCTTATAAAAAATATAATAATAATTTTTAAAATTAATAAAGCAAGAAAAGGCATTTTAATTTTTTTTTAATCTCTGTTAACAGTGTTTACATTTTTGGATGGAATGTCTATTTCAAAAATATATGAACTTGTTTGAAATTTTGATTAAAACTTAAGAAGATTGATGGTATTTTACCTTTTAAAAAAACTCAAACTATTCAAAAAAACTAAAAAAAAATTAAAATGAAATATGTCATGTAATCATGACATCATACCATATCATTATCTACTATAACATATCAATATACCACATTATCATATATTATAACATGTTATCATGTCACGTCAACACTCATATGGTATAGAAAATGCATTCAAGCATTTAACTCATTGATTAATATATGATCCCTTATTTAAAGAGTATGGATTTCAATCTCTTTTACTTATGAAAAAAAAAACCTATTAGTCACAAGATATTTTTAGACTCAAAATAAAAATATAAAGATTTAATTGAACGAAGTAAAAAAATAAAAATTTATTTAAATTTTTTAAAATAGTTTAAGAAGTCTTTTATGTATTATGTTCAAATTTTTTAATATGTAAATGAGTTTGGATATGGGATATTTAAATGATGTTTGTTGTATAGTTTAAGGCATAACTGAATCTATATGTCCATGTTGCTGTTGACAATGAGCCTGCAAATAATTTATGCATGAAAAGTGGCTTCATTAATGAAAATGATGAGCCTGCGTGGCCAGATCGGCCTTGACGGATTCTATTGTGGATTGGTCTTCCTTGCACTAATGAGTTGTAATGATTTGGCTTTTCCTTTTGCTTTTGGTACTTTATTATAAGTCTTGATTCTGATACATGTTTATATAATTTGGAAAACTCGCCCATTTGAAAACATAATGTAAACTTCTTGTATATCACCAGGTAAAAATAAAATCTCACAAGAGGATATCCCATTCATTAGAACTTGAGACTATCCATTTGACGGTTCAAGTTTAAAAGTTAAGAGAGAGAGGTGGATTTTATGAAAGAAGAGAATAACTATGGGTTGTGTAGTTTAAAGCTTTATGGGCATCTTTCTGTATGTAGGGAAAAAACTTGAAGAAAAACCTAGCTCATTTCCCTTTTGATAAAATGTGCCATGCATACAAGCAGGAAACTGTTGCCAGTGTAATGTTGCTTGTTACATTTTTGGACAAGGTCCGTGAAAGGAATAATTTAACTTTAGATCTTTGCTCTTCAAAGGATGGGGGGATCAATTGAATTGCTCATTAATTTTGATGTGAATACATAATTGCTAAAGAAGTTCCGTCCCAAACAGGTAAAAGTTCCACATTTTACATAACATTATTGGAATACCACATGGAAGACAGCAGTTTTCCATTTGTTCCAAGATTATTCTCTTTAACAGCTACATTATCATCATCTTCCCTAGACGTTGAGAAGCCATTTTTGATTAGAAGCGTCAAACTCAAACCCTGTATATATGACAAGGCAAAAGGTGTGAGGAGAGGTAGAAGGCCTTAAGGGGCGATGACTAGTAGTAGTATGGTCAGTATTTGAAAGACTTACTCGTTAAATTCCACTCGGATTATGCCGGCGTCAGTATCAGCAATGGCGGAGAAAGCATCTTGAGAAAGATTAATGATTCCCTGGCATCCTGCTTTACAGTAGTCAACAACTTTAACCACGACACTTGTACCTTCCTTGCAAGGATGCGGAGCAAGATTGGCTCCTCCTATGCATTTGACTCTGTAACTCTTTCCGCATGCCCCTCCGTTATTCCATAACGCATCACTTACTCCAGCAACCATTTTCCCTTGGTTTTGGTTAGAGCATGCTGAGGCTGTTAACATCATATTGTATTAAATATTTCGAAAGTCAAATCTGGGTTGTTTATCCAACCCTGTGATATACATATATATATATATATATATATATATAACGAATTTAATTTTTTTTAAATGGTGTTATAATTAAAATAATAATAATTAAAATATTTTTTTTCTCAATCCAGATATATCAGAAAAGTACTTAAATCAAATTCAACCAAACTTTATTTAAAAGATTGTTGAGTATTATCATTAGTAAAATTATGTTGTTGCTGTCAAGACTCGAGTCTTGTGAAATAATTTCTTATATTTTAAAATATCTTTTCATGATTTATTTATTTAAAAATTTATTAAAAATTACTACTAATTTTTCATTAATATAAATAAAAATATAAAATTAAATAAAATATGATCTTGCATAACAGACTATCAATTTCAACTATTAACAATTTGACAAATTTCTATTCATTAATTAAAAAGATCCACAAACCACATAAAATTAAATGCAAAAACTAAATAATCAAACAATATATCTACAAAATAAATAAATAAAAAAGAAAGAAACATAATTTTAAGATATTATCTGATATGCAATATTATTTTCTATTAGCTAGATACTATTTGAGTATCAACCTATCAAAATAATCAATAAATATTTAGACATGAATTATTTAAAAACTTAATTTGAATTGATAATTATTTATAATTGAAGTTTAGATAAATTATTTTAAAAGAGTGAAAAAGGCAATCAAGACCGAGAAGAGGATGCATCACTACATGTCTCAAATGTAAGATTTGAATTTTTGAATAAGAAAAGTAATTTAGGTTTTGACCTTTTTAATAAAATCTTAAATTATAAAAATTTTTTTGTCTTTTCATGTAGTATTTTAATATTAATATATAAATTACTTTTTGATAAATTTACTTAGATTTACAAATTTTGATCCATTCTCTACAAAATTGTAAAAAAACTTAATAGATTTATTAGTGTATTAACTATATAAAACTTCCTTCAAGGTAAGTCCATCATTGTATTATATATACATATATATAGCGAATAATTATACTTACGGAAATAAGGAGGTGAATAGAAAACAGCCTTCCCCTGAACGGCACTCACGACTGAGGTAAGACTCAAGACCATGCTCACAATCACAAGAACCTTCATCTCAATCCCCATGTCTTCCACCTATAGAAAAGTAAATCGATCTCTCTCAGTTTTAGGTATTACTACTTCCCAGGGGTTGCTACGGCTTTTATAGGTCCAAAATTTTTAACCTCTCCATTTAAAAGAATAGCACCGTCATTTACTTATCACTCAACTTTGATCAAGACTCAAGAGTCAGTCCACAATTTAGTCATCCTCCTAGAAATTCTTGCTTAATTACCCAGCCACTAGTCTTGTTCACCCCGTCCGCTACGCCTACGCTAATGCCTAATCTTTCCTTCGAGGAAATTCTTCTTTGAGAGTACGGATATGATGTTTGCATTTTCTTGGAATTGTTTCACATCATGAAATAAATTTTCCGCTCCCCTTTGTGGGTGAAGCAAAGAAATTCTAAGTCAATCCGTGTAGAAAACGTTGGTGGAAAAAGGAGTAGATAGATGTGATAAAATTAGGCAATGCTCGAATCAACAAAGGGAGTAAACATTAAAAAGTCACTTTGGGTTTTTGGAGTAGCATGTAAGGGCGCCTCAATAAGTTTAAAGGTATAAAAGCATTTTTAATTGATATTAAAAAAATTATTAAAATTTTATTCTTATAACTATTTAAGATGCAAAATTTTTAATTAAATTTTTATAATATATGTTTTTCAATTGATAATATAGTTAATTCGTTTAATATTTCTTGAGACATTGTTGATCTTAAATAAGATTTTATTAATTTTAATTTTGATTTTGCAAATCTTATTTCTCCTGAAGTAATAGTTATTGAAATTGTTAACATTATTTTGAAAGCATTATATGCATTTAGAAAAGAATCGAGTCTTCTTATATGATTAAGTATGTCAATTTGATTGTTTTCTTCCATTTGTATAATTTTTTTTAAAATTTTTAACTATAAAAATAAATTTAAACTATCAATATCAGAATAGTTGTTATATTTTAAGGAACATTTAAGATTAAGGCAATATTCTTACAAACTATTATCGTCTCATTATTTCAACTTTTTACCGCTAAATAGAAAACCAAAAAAACTTTCATATATCTTAAATTGTTCAAATTTACTTTGAAGTGAAAAAATTGCTTGATCTAATATATATAACAAGTAATCAATTCTAAATGATTCTTCAAAAGATCTAGTTATTTCATTATCAACATTTGCATCAAATTGTTTTTTTCTATGAATAATATGTGTATCACGAAATTTAGGTTCTATATTCATTTTATATGCAATTTCTTTAGAAGAAATTATAGCAAATACAAATCCGTCTTCTTTATATTTTTCATAAAAAAAAAAAGAAGACCTTTTAATTGTTTTATGGCAACATCAATACACATATCTTTTGATTGCAAATTTTTGCTAACAGAGTTAACAGCAAACAATATATCATAGCAAATAATCATGCCCAATAAAAACACAAAATTTTCAAGCTCCTAAGTTGCTAAGCAATTAGCTTCACTTTTAGTTTTAGGATCTTCACTAACTTTTGCTAATTTCCATAAAGCATCTTTTATTCGTGGAGCTTGGAATCTTATTACTTTAACACTTTTAATACGACTCTACCTTGGAATCTTATTGCTTTAACACTTTGAATACGACTTTACCAATGTGTTTGTGACAATGATTTAAGAGTTCAACCAGGTATATTATCTTGTAAAATTTTCAATCGTTTGGTAGAAGAAGAAAATAGTGAATATATATGGTTGTACCATTCCAAAAATTGATATAGATTTAGTGCAAGAATTTGCCACGTCACAAAGTACTAAATTTAGATTGTGACAACTGCATGCTGTATAAAAGGATTTAAGATTTAAGTCTAAAATTCTTTTTTGCACTTCTTGTTGCTTGCCCTTCATATTAGAGCCATTATCATATTCTTTTTGTCTTAAATTATTAATGGCAAGCCCAATATTTTTTATTTCATCCACAATGGCATCAAAAAGACCTTTTCCAGTTGTATCATCTACTTTTAAGAATTTGAAAAAATACTCCATAACTCTAATTGGACTTGATAAAATATTAACACATCGTAATATAAAAGACATTTGCTCTTGATGACTTATGTTTGGAGTGCAATCAAGTATTATTGAAAAATATTTTGCTTCTATAAGGTTTTTAATAATTTTATTTCTAATTTCATTGGCTAACAAATTTATCATTTCATTTTGTACATTACGTCCAAGGTAATGAGTATGAATTTTATTCTCTTCAATGTGTCGAATGTGTTCTTGCATCACTGGATCAAGTTCTGCAATCATTTCAATTAGACTTAAAAAATTTCCATTGCTTTCTTGATAGATTTTTTTATTTCCCACAAAAAGCCAAATTATCTTTACCAAGAGTTTTTACTACAACAAGAATTCTTGTTAATACTCTTTTCCAATGTTTTTCATCTCTTTTCATTTGTTCTTGAACACTTTTATTAATTGTTTTATATTTTAATAATCTCATTTCTAAATCAATTCAAGAACTCGTATTAGTAATATGCTTATTACTCATTTCATGACACTTAAGCTTAGCAATAAGGTTTCTCTTATCTCTGGTGCCAACAGTAGCTAGTTTACTTGTACTAGAAGCCAAATTAAGCAATTGGAAACAAAAGCAAAATCCTCTATCTAAGTCTCTTGAATAAACTAGCCATCTTCTTTCATGTTTCTCCCTATTTGCCAACTTTTGAATATAGTATGTAATAGAAAAATGTCTTAAAAATTCATCTTTAGGAAAATCTAAATTATTAACTTTAATTAGACATTTTTCTATTAATAAATCTCTTAAATTTGTATCAATATTTGTCCATTAACTTGGATCATAAATATTTTTAGGAATGCAATCATTTAAATTAATAGGTTGATCCTCTTCATCAGGATTTCTATGATCATTTTGAATCTTTTCATGATTTCTATAATCATTTTGAATCTCTTCATTAACTTCTTGTTCTAGTATTTCATCATCATCTAACTCTCTAAGATTATTAACTTGTTTGTTTAAGGAACATTCATTATTTTTATTGCTTGTAAAAAGATATATCAAGTTCTCCTTTTTGAGATTGTATTAAATTTTCAATTCTTCTTTTCTTTTTTAAGTTTTGAATAATCAAATTGATATTTTCGATTTGACATATTCAAATATTTATTACGAGGTACAAAAATATTTAGCTATTATAATTATCTTATATTTTTTAAATGACTAATATAAAATCAACAATCAAAATTTTTAATTCAAATACATCAATTATCATATAAAATAAAGATAATATAACAATATAATATAAACTCTAAATTAAATTGAAAAAGCATGTAAAGATAAGAACAATAATACCTAATTGTTGGATGCTTATTGCAAACCATAAATGAGGCTCATGGTTTTATGAAGATAATAACATAATAGACTTTTTGTGTATTCTTTAGAGGAAAATTGAAGCTAAAGGAAGAAAGAGTAAATGAGAAAAGAAGAATTCAAAATTAGATATTATACGTTGAAAAAAAATGATTTTATATATAAGAAAAAAATAGCTATTAGAAATTATTAAATATGTTGATTGAAAATATGAGAAATAAGTGAGAAAAAAATAGTTGTTGGAGATAATTAAATACATATGACCATTAGTTGATTGGATATAAGAGAATTTAGTTGATAATTAAAAGCATTCTAGAAATTAGGAAGTGATAGAAAATTGAGATTTATTAGGTATATAATTAGATAAGTGAGAGAATAATTAATTTTATTAATTACTTTTGACTTTATATATTTTTTAATTTTTATATATTTTTAATATAATTAATAATATTATAATTATTATAAAATTATATGGCCTCTGCAAATTTGGGGCCTAAAGCCTTTGCTTGGTGGCTTCACCCAAGGGCCGACCCTGTATAGCATCACTTGTTACTGCGATCATAATTCCATCATTTTAAAATCCATTGCATGAAGAAGCTGTCGATGTAAAGATGTTGAATAGTTAATTGCTCATGATTATAAATAAACAAGTTAAACATCAGTTGAATGCAAATTTATTACCTAATGGCACTAAAGAAGATCATGTCAATCTCTTTATGCATATAAGGAGATTAATTACTTTTTGTGAGCCTTTCAAGAAGATATAATAATTAGTTTTCGGAAACAAATTAAACTTATTCTTTTCTTTGTTTTTTCATCTATCCATGGAGTGGGATACTTAACAGACATAAGGAAGAGTATAGAACGTAGCAATTCCTTGAATGGTAGATGCAACCTAGACAAGGATTGCTATAGCCATTGCCATGAGCATGATCATTACAACTCTCGTACCTTCAGCGATTTTTTCCCTTAACGAAGAGTAAATGTTGTTTTGCAAAGAAAAAAGCTAGTTTTCCATACTGTTTATTGACCATATGGGTCATATGGTCAATAAAATATTTGTCGTTTTAGTGGAAATGAAGTATTCGAACGCTTTACCCTTGGTGGATACCAAAAGTTAGGAACATGGAAGAGCAAGAGAAGACTTTTCTTATTGCCTTGCAAATACAAATTACTTTGTAGTTTCATTGGAAATGAAGTAATAAATTATTGGAAACTATAGAGGTTTTCTATTTCATTTCTTGATTTTCTTCTATTTCCTATATTTTTGTATTACTTTGTACATTCCTTGATTGGCAAAAATTACTAGATTTGTATGTACTATAAAAACCTTTCATATCAAGTAAAACGCAATGTGAGTAAACCAAATCTGTACGTGGTATTAGAGCAAGAGAACTAGGGTTTGTATTCTCCTCATCACCATGGTCTAAGAAAAGAGCAGTGACTCTACACTTATAAATACCTAAACAATCAATCAGAACACCAGCCAAAACACATGATTTTTCATCACCATATACATCCCTCTGATAACTTGAGCATAACCTTGGTTTGTTGTCTTCTGAAAGAGGAAAATTATGCAACATTGCGTAGCCCCATGACAAATGCAATATTGGCTAAAAATAAATTTGGCTTCATGGATGGAACACTTACTTGTCCCTCACCTGATTCGCTAAATGCGACAGGTTGAATAAAAAGTAATTCCATGGTTATCTCATGGATATTCAATTCTTTTTA